CCTTTTGTAGCATCGACGCTGATGAAGGATGGGACGTTGGTAACTGCAGATGTTCAGGCAAAGATAAATGCTAATACATCAGTCATTGTATTGATATAGCCCCCAACGCATTGCCCCATTTCTGTTGCTCCCTGTGATGTATTAGAATGATGCGGTAAGAAAACTGAACCAGTGGAATTGTAAATCTTCATCAGAATGCTGCTACCGTTAATAGTTTTATTCAGCTTACACATTTCTGGCTTTTTTCTCTTTTGAGGTGGGAGTTAATTTGGCTTTTGTGGTCAGTGCTTTCTTAAATACGTTTTTTTCCTTTTTTTGTCTTTTTCTTCTCTCAAGTCAAAATTATTGTGAACAAATCAGGAAAGATTGAAAGAAAGCCTCTTCTTTCAGGTTATTTGATATCTACGTTGAATATGCCTAGACTTATTGCAGTAATTCTTCTAATTGCTTTTCAAAATCTTATAGCCTTGTATTTGTTATTAGGAAGAGATGGATTCTCTTTGCACCCCTGTTTTTTCTCAATGCCTCCCTCGCAGCATTTTAGGTGGTGTTGTGGTGGATTTTGCCCTCTGCTCTTACGCTTCTACTTTTTCATCTTATCAATAGAAGACTGGCTATTCACTGTTTTGTGCCTGTCCCAAGTATGGCAGGAGGAGGAGAAAGTTACTTTTTTTTTACCAAACTCAGTTTTATCTGTCTTGTTTCCTGTTCAGGTGAGAGATACTGGACTACCTTTGAAGCACTATCAAATACAGATTCTAATTGTTGGAAGAAAAGTGGTATTTTCTATCTCTCTTTCTGTCCTCAAAGCAGCAATTGTTGCAAAGTTGGCTATGATATTTCTAATAGGTTACAATTCTCTAAGCATCTTTCCTAGGTCCTACTCACATCTAAGCTTTTTTTGAGAGCTTTCGAAATGGAGGAGAGACAGAACGGGCCCACATTTGTCAGTCTGTGCTGCTTGTCAAAGTAGCAGTATAAAGCCAGATATATCCTGGTAGCATCAGAGATACTGCAGCTGCCTGCCTCTGCATTTACAGCACAGCATTGGTTTTATGCTTTGTTCACATATGGCAAGATGTAGCCATCTGGGTTGGAAAACTGTATGTTTTTGAAACAAAAATGTAGATTCTGCAGAAGGTTGGTAACACACACTGGAGAATTACGGATCCTAGAGAAGTAGATATTTCTAGCTGTGATGAAAAATGGATGTTGCCAGTAAGTGTAAACAGACTAGAATTATGTACAAAATATTGCAGAATAGTGGAGTGCTTTTGCAAATGTGTCTGCTAATTTTTAGCATATATTTAGAAAGCAAAAAAGAATAAAAACTTAATGATTGATAAAGAAAACCCAGTTGTACAAAAAAATCTAAAGTTTAACTGACCCATGTAGTCTCCTTGATGAAGAAGCCCTTTTTGTGTTATATCAATTTTACTAGCATAGAGCAAGACATAGTGCTGTGATAATTGGAGCAAAGCCGTTCTTGGCACCTGGCCACAGTGGAGCAGCTTGTGCTGTGCTAATAGAATGGCTTCTGCATACACAGGAGTGTCTTTATTTGAGAAAATAGAGACCTGGCTTTAGGGAAAACAGTCACCTCTGGTCAAAATTAGGAAGAGGTTGTTTAAATTAATATAGGAAGTGATTATATATCATGATATTAAAGAAATATACAACTACCTTTGCTGTGTATGCTAACATATAATAGTCACAGAATCACAGAATGTTAGGGATTGGAAGGGACCTCAAAGGATCATCTAGTCCAATTCCCCTGCCGGAGCAGGACCACCTAGATCAGATCACACAAGAACGCGTCCAGGCGGGTTTTGAACATCTCCAGAGAAGGAGACTCCACAGCCTCTCTGGGCAGCCTGTTGCAGTGTTCTGTTACCCCTACAAATAAAATGTGTGTCAATGCGAGTGACAATGGTCTTAGGTGTGAAACAACAATAGATACTTTTTTTATCTTTATTTTAGAACAACTTTGTACTGAGAGAACAGATGAATCTGAATACAGCATAGTAAACTTGAGGCTTGATCTCTTGAATCCTAGTTAATGGAATCTTCTCGTATTGATCCTAAGAGTTTAGTCTGATCATGGTTGTTATTAAAGCTGTGTACAGTCACATCATTTAAGAAATAGGTTTTCTTTTTTTCTATAGAAACAGATGAAACATGCTTAAGATGCTGGGAAATGCGTTTTCCTCCCTTTAAACGTTTTTTTTCCTTATGGTATTTTCAAATGCATCCTTACTTTATCCCAGCTAAAATTTGTCTGCTTAGTCTTCTATATAAAATTGATCTCCTCCTGCTTTTTTTCCTTACCAGCATTTTGAGCAATGTACTTGATGATTGATTCTGATTAATTTTCTTCGTTTTGTTCCTCTAAATGCAAAATATTCTCACTTCAGAGATTTTTCTTCCACCTCCATACTTCTTTTCTTATGTATTTGTGTATTTTTATTTGTTTCCAATCTGTTGGCTTTTGTGATAGTGTATCTTTACCTTTTTTCCAGCTTGTGATTTTGTTTTGTCAAAATACTGGTGATAACTCTTGCTAGTTTCAGTGAGGTCCATCAACAGCAATAAAAAAGAGTGTATTTATCAACCTTACTGCCTGATAATATAACACAGCATGTACGTGAACGTCGGTGCCTGCTGCCTGTGGTGTGTGTTGGGATGTTGGACGTGGCTTGACTGGGAGAGCATCATGATGTGAAAGCTTGCACCTAGTGGCACGTACCTGAAATGTCTTGCTTTTTGAACGTTGTGTTCAGTTAACAATTTCAGTAACTGCCGCAGGCAGCAGGGTGTGGACATGACTGTATTTGTCAAAATCCAGAAAAAACCCCACATGAAAACCTTATCTGAATCCAGCTTCTGATATTTGCCGTTGGTCTAAAGGCTGCGTGAGGCTGGCTGTCATGTACCAAAGTCTGTGTGCATGCGAGAGTTGGGCAGGCTGTGGGCCAGCAGAGGTGGGAGCAGGCACCCCCACAGGAGGCTCACGCGCTCACCAGCTGGTATGGACAGAAGGAATGGTCCACCCTGGAATTAGTTCCTGCTGGCAGCCTGGTTGCCCAGCAAGGGCTGGGCATGGGAGACCAGCGGCAAAGTGTTCTGAGAAAGAAAGAGCACACGATGCTGTTCCAGTGCAATGATTTTGTCCTGCCTCAGCTAATTCTGTCCCTGTTGGTACGTGTAAAGCACGGGAGTATTCAGGTACTTCAACATGCAAGGAAAATGAGGCTTGTGGGGACAGTGTTAACAGTTGGCACGTGTAGCCCCTGGTATGAATTTTTAAGGCGTTAGCAAAAGTCCCTGAAGTAGAGAAGGAAGAAAAATTGAGGCAGTTACTATGAAAGTGTCGGGAAGGTGCTTCTGATTGACATGCCTGACCAACAAATACAGCAATACCAGCAGTGGTTTCAGAATTAGTAACTGTTACTTGGAGCATGCTGGAGAGGGTAGGGACAGCAGACCCTCTAGCCCTTACCCTTGCCAAAACCAGGACCAACCACACTCTGTTGGTTTCATCAGCTTTTGATTTATAGTATGTGGCTGCATCAGACTAGTCCTGTGTCTTGGTTATGGAACGTACTTAAGGTCAAGTTCACAGGAAGTTTTTGATATTGTGAATTCAGCTGAGTAGTTCACATTCCTTCTTAATTTAGTGTAGTAAATTACTCTGTACTAGTTCAGACAGAATCAGAAAGATTTGGGCTTTAAATGTCTGGTTTACTTGAAAGAAAAACAATGTCCTTATGAATGTCTATGCATTTTTTGCTAACTTCAGTTTCTGTTTTTTTGTAGGTAATTGAATGGATCTTCAGAAGCAGAGCTGCTCAAACTGACAGAAAAGTAAGTATGCGAGTGTTCATTGTTTTTCGCAAAAATATAGATCTGACTTAGTGTTACCTCTGTTTACAGTTAATAAACCCTTTTGTCATGTTGATTCTTAACATGTGTAATAATAAATATTTTTTATATAGCCTTGTAAGCCTATTTCCAGTTAAGTGTTTTTATTTTGAGAAAGTAGATGTTATATATTTCTCCTTCTGAATATATCCTGATGTTTCTTTTTCTTATTATTTTTAATAGCTAGAACTACCATTGCAAAGGGAAACTTTGAAAAATGTAATTATGACAATTTCTTATCTCTTTTCAATGATGTATAGTACATAGTTTCTCACTTTTATAATCATTAGAAAAGTTTCAGCTTCTCAAGTTTGTGTTGTCTAACATAGCGTGACTAGAATCTCTTATGGTGATGGGTTATTTCCACCTGTGTTTAGTTAGTAATTTTGACTTTGAAAGTCACCTTTCTCTGGAAGGAGAAGCTTTTGTTTTCTGCTGGCTCCCAATTTAAAAAAGGAAAAATCTGCGTGTGAAGAATGCGTTTCATTTGTGAATTCAAATACAAAGTGGAGCTTTGTACTAGCTGAATGATATGTTGTGTTTTAACCTCTTTTCAGATGGTTGAGATTATGAAATAATTCAATCGAAGTTATTATATTATATAAAAAAGTAGAAATTCTTCAATCTAATAAATAGGAGTTGAACTCTTTTTTTAAAAAAGTCCCCTATTTTTAGCAGAGCAATATCAAAATTGCTATAGGGTATATGTGTATGAATTTGTATTTACAGCTGATATCTGCAATACGTATATATTTCAACAGAGCTGTTCACAGTATCTGTGAGCTCTGTAATTACACTGATTATACAGCACTAACTTCCATTTGTTCGGTTGTTCTTGCACATACCGTGAGATATTTTTGCTTAAAATTCATTAATTACTTTCTGTAACTAGATAGACTTACTTCTAAAAAGGCTAATTAAGAAAAAAAGTGTATGTACAGGGCTTGGGCATAATACATTATATCAGGAAGAGTTGGGAACCTGATTTCTATGCTCACTGTCCTTTTGTCTATTCATAACGAATCTGGTATTGGCTAATTGGATTTTTATTGTCTTTAGTGGCATATCGAAGAGATGAAATGTGGCCTGAAGGGCGATATGACTATGAAAGAGTTCCAAGAGAACGTCTCCCTCCAAGGATTCATCCTGATGTAAGTGTTTAGTATGTTTCTTTAGCATTATACCATTATACTATACCTTTATACCATGACTTATACCATAAAGACTGGATTTATGTACATATTTAAGTTTCTAGTATGCACCAAGTTCTGTTCTCATTCTTTTAAGCGAACAATCTAGCAAATACATCTGCACAGAGGTAATAGGATACCTACAAGATTAAATCTTGTATTTATTCTTTTTCGAATGTATTGAAAGTGGTTTAGAATATTTGTGTTTTGATAAATTGATTTTTTTGATGTAATTCTGTGTTATTAAAACCAGGATTTTTAATAACTTCTGGAGAACCAAAGGTTATGTTATATTTTTCCCCAGACTTTTTTTTATGTTAATACACCTTTGAAGTGATTTGAGGTGATAAAATGACTACTTTTCAGTATTGTTCTTGTCACTGATGCAGTTTTTTATTATGATGCTTAAAGTGTAGAAGGAAATGTTTATAGCAGATGTTGAAAATACATCTTTGCTGAAGAAGCTGTCTTTTGGAGCTGTGTAAGGGAAATGCTTATGAAGAAGTATGTCGGTGGAAATCTGCTTTGTAGGCATGGAGACTTCAACTGAATGTTGTGCTTTTAACCGCAAATGCAGAAACTGTGCTTACTCTGCTGTAGAATAACTTTAGAATGCTTTTAGAAAATCTCTGTGCCAAAGAGTTGGGTAAAATTATTCTTTTTTTCTCCTGTATCTGAAGTCTCTAAAGAAGAAAGAAAACAGGTTGTAACTTTATCTTTTGAGCTATTACAGCTTAAATGAACTATAAGAATACTTTTTCACATTTCTATTTACATGCTATGCAATGTACATTCAACAAAATAAAATTTCAGGTACCTGTGCCTGTTACCTGGCTTTTCTTTTAATTCTTCTAAATGTTAGAATAATAGCATAGCTGGTTTAGCATACTTTCTGGGTTCCCCCTACTATATTTTCAGCTCGTCATTTTGGAAGTGTACCAGTGTTGGTAACTTGGTAACTAGTTACATAGTCTTCTCTATTGAGTAGTGTATTAGTGTTTTGCTGCTCTGTGACATTTTAACTCTCTTTACAGGTAACAGCAAAATTTCTCCATTTTCAGCAAACTGGAAATCAGATAAGTTTGCATAGGGTATTTAGTCAACTGCTTCTCCAAAGCAATAGGACATGAGGAAAGGCAGAACATATTTTCACAGCTATCTTTTTTTTTTTTTTTAAATCAACGTTTGACTTGACTAACACATTGCTTATTTAATTTAAGCGTTGCAGCAGTGACATTCCTAAATTCTTTTAGTCTTTTAAGCTGTCCAGGGAACAATGCATGGCATATGCATTATGAAAATTTACTTTAAAAGATGTGATGCACTCATTTTGATGCAAGAGTTAACTAGATAGTTCAATGCTAGCTTTATATTACATGTGTTTGGAACTGGAGATGAAGGGACTAGCAGAATACACTAAATTATCACGATCATCGCTATCCATCTGCACCAAAACACCAGTGGTTGAGCAAACCAAAGTTTGGTGTCTTTCTGCCTTACTGAAAAATGAGTATGAAGCTCCTTCTCATACAGCTCTGCTGATTCAAGATATTGGGCAGGCAATTTCGCTTCTTGCAAGCCTGTGCCATTGTGTTTATGTCTACGTATAGAGGTCTGACTTAATTTTGACTGGGCAAGTAAAATGGAATTAATTTATTCAATCTGTGTGCTTAGCGTTTGCTGATAGGGTAGTATGTTGGAACTGAGACAGGCCAGTGATACAGCATCTCTTCTTTGAGAGAGTGAGACACCTGTCCTAATCTAAACTGGGTGCTAATTATATATCAAGTATACATAGATCAGGTATAGTAGAAACACGTGTTTTCATGTCTTGGTAAACAACATAAAGTTGCAAGCACTTGGCACAATTAACTGTGAATGGGTACACCTTGAGCTTTCATGCAACGGTCCTTCGGAATGTCAGTATAGTTATGTGATGGGGACTTCTAGGTGAGATTAAGTCACAGAGCAGTTTTATTTTAGCTTCAGAGCACATCTTCTTTGTAAGACACCAAACTAAAAAAAACCCACCCACCTGTGGAGCATTTTGGGTGAGGTGAGGGTAGATCAAACACTGTAGCTGTGTATGAATGTGTATGTAGTCTCTACTTTGCATCAGTATGGCTGTTGGCTGGCTTTGGATTGCCCTCTAGTGAATTTGTTGGGTGGTTTCTGAAATCAGAACTAACTTTTTTTTGCATGATAATATTGAGCCTTTTGTGAATTTAATGCATTTTTCTACAAAAACTGTTATTGCATTAGACTGTGACTTCTACTACTATTACAAAAAATAGTTTGAGAAACTTTTACCCCACCTCTGAATTGCACATGCTAACTCGAGTCTCTGCACTTACAGCTTTTGGTTTTAAGGCTCATAGAAAAAATATCTTGCTAAGGGAAGAAGACTTAAAATGCAAGGTCTTGCATTCATGTTTTTGTTTGCTTTTTATTTGCAGTTGTCTTATGTAATAGAAAATCGAATTTGTATCTTTTGCAACTTGCAATTTGTGCTTAATAAACAAAGGATTTCTTTAATTGGTAAATGATGTATGACATTGTATTTGAAGGAAATAGAGTAAATTAATCATAGAATCATTTAAGGTTGGAAAGGACCTCTAAGATCATCAAGTCCAACAGTCAACCCAATACCACCATGTCATGAAGTGCTACATATACATGTTTTTTGAACACTTCCAGGCATGGTGACTCCACCACTTCCCTGGGCAACCTGTTCCAATGTTTGACCACTCTTTCAGTAAAGAAATTTTTCCTAATATCTAATCTAAACCTCCCCTGGCGCAACTTGAGGCCATTTCCTCTCATCCTATCACTAGATACCTGGGAGAAGAGACCAACACCGACCTCGCTACAGCCTCTTTTCAGGTAGTTGTAGAAGGTGATAAGGTCTCCCCTGAGCCTCCTTTTCTCCAGACCAAACAACCCCAGTTCCCTCAGCCGCTCCTCATAAGACTTGTGCTCCAGACCCTTCACCAGCTTTCTTGCCCTTCTCTGGACATGCTCGAGCATCTCAATGTCCTTCTTGTAGTGAGGGGTCCAAAACTGAACACAGTGTTTGAGGTGCAGCCTCACCAGTGCCAAGTACAGGGACACGATCACTTCCCTAGTCCTACTGGTCACACTATTTCTGATACAGGCCAGGGTGCTGTTGGCCTTCTTGGCCACCTGGGCACACTGTTGACTCATGTTCGGCCAGCTGTCAACCAGCACCCCCAGGTCTTTTTCTGCTGGGCAGCTTTCCAGCCACTCTTCCCTAAGGCTGTAGCCTTGCATGAGATTGTTGTGACCATAGTGCAGGACCTGGCACTTGGCCTTGTTGAACCCCATACAATTGGCTTTGGCCCATCGATTCAGCCTGTCCAGATCCCTCTGCAGAACCTTCCTACCCTCGAGCAGATCAATACTCCCACCCAGCTTGGTGTCGTCTGCAAACTTACTTAGGGAGTGCTCAATCCCCTCATCCAGATAATTGATAAAGATATTAAACAAGATTAGCCCCACAACTGAGCCCTGGGAAACACCCCTTGCAACTGGCTGGTGAGCCTTCCCAACCTCAAGAAGATCAACACTCCTGCCCAGGGTGATGTCATCTGCAAACTTAGGGAGAACTCAATCCCCTTATTCAGACCATTGATAAAGATATTAAACAAGACTGGCCCCAGAACTGAGCCCTGGAGAACACTGCTTGTGACCAGCTGCCAAATGGGTTTAACTAACTCCTTTCACCACAACTCTCTGGGCTTGGCCATCCAGCCAGTTTTTTACTCGGTGAAGAGTACTCCCGTCTAAGCCATGAGCTGCCAGCTTCTCGAGGAGAATGCTGTGGGAGACGGTATCAAAGGCATTAACTGAAGTCCAGGCAGACCACATCCATAGCCTTTCCCTCATCCACTAAGTGGGTCACCTGGTCATAGAAGATCAGGTTGGTCAAGCAGGACCTGCCTTTCATCAATTCGTGGTGGCTGGGCTTGGCACCTGATTGTCCTGCACATGCCCTGTGAGCACACTCAAGATTTTGCATTCTAGCAATAAACTATCTGAAACTTGCATTAAAAGAAAAACCAAGAGTGTTAAAACTCTCTCTGTCACTTGAATCCTCAGATCACCTACTTCATTGTATTGAAAAGATACTTGTCTAATCACATTATGAAGCAAGGACTGTCTCCACTATAGTCTCCATAGAGTGGAGAATGTTATTGACGTTAAGAAAATTGATAGTATTTTCAAATGAGCTCTTTGTTTTACAGGCATTACAGATGTAACTTTCTTCTTTGCATTCCTAAGTTAAAGTCTCTGAGAAATACATGTAGCTAATGCTTAAGGTCAGAAAATAGCTGTGATTAAAATAGCTAATGCTACTGCTTAAAACTTTCAAAACAAACTTAAACCGTGTTGAAAATTTTCCCTCTATAATTCAGCTTGTAATGCCTGAGGATTGCATCTGAATGATATCCAGTTAGATTTAATAAGTTATTCCACCATCAGACTGGCATGATTTTTAATGTTTGTTCTTCCTCTGTGCTATTTCAGCTTTAAGATTATTGTAGTCCCATATTTAGATGTAACTTGTTTTTTTTTGGTTTTTTTTTTACTTTTGTGTATTCACTACAGATTTCCAGCTGTTAAAAGCAATATGATTTTGTTTGTTTTGTGGTTTAGGATGATTACCATAGAGTAGTAAGCGTTGCGCCCAAGAAACCACCACTGCTCGAAAGACCTGGGGATGGGAATTACAGTCGGTATGATGACTACGGTCATGCCGAGTACAGAGACTATGAAGAGGGTCGCAGTTTTGCCCATGACCGGAGAAGTGGCCCTCCGCACCGAGGTGTACGTAAGGTGATTCTTCACGCATGTTTTTAATGTCTATCTTGTTATTAATGCTTGAATACTGAACAATTGAAGTATTATTTCAGACAGAACATTGCTGTTACTGCTGTTCTTTTGTAAGCTGAAATAGAATGAATAGAAAAACCATCTAGGTTTTGGTACTTGCTCCTTTTTTGCAGTTACTGTGCTTCTAAGACTCTTGTGATTATATAGCAATACCTGTTTGCTGCTTCGTATGGTTCCTAGGTACTCTGTTGACTTAGAAAAGGGCACTTCTCCAGCTCTGTGGAAAGCTCAGAGTCTGAACTGGGAAAACCGAAGTGGCTAGAAGTCCTCTCTATGAATAGAAGAATGATTGCAAAATCTTCCTATTTAACAAGTCCTTGCGCATGCAGCTTGTTGAATGTTGTCTGCTTATCCTTCTGATTTGCACAGTTGCTCACTTATTTAAATTCTGTCATGATATTGAGTGCATTTTTTTCGCCCTGTAGCTGCACTTAAGTACTAAATTTGTGGTCCTTTTGAAAAGTCATTACTGCCACCTCCTCCAGCACAGCTGTTTGAAGTTCTATAATTTCAAGCTAGTGGTGGCAATTTACATTTCAAAGAGGAAATTTTTAAGTCATGGCCTATGTATATAGTTTGGAAATTTTTGTAGTCTTTGTGTCTTGTACAGCATTTAAAAGTTGGGCTCTTTAATATTAATAGAGGAAGAAAATGAGAGGAATGGGGTAGAGTGAATAAACCAAAAGGAACTTTGCTGTGAATGATTAATACTTTATTTTAACTCATTAAATGCTTTGGCTTTGCAGTAAATGAGTACGAATTGACATCTAACTGTACCTCATATCTGATGTTGAGGTACATGTCGCACAATTGTTTTGCACGTATGTTTTGCAGGATGAATCAGGATACAGATGGCCAAGGGATGATCATTCTATAAGTCGGCACCCTGAATACAGGTATTTTATAAGAATTTACAGTAGTGCTATGCACAGGTTGGGACTATTTAGGGTATTTTTCTGTGTTATCAAAACATTTTGTAGAGCAGAGCAATGAATTGACAGGGATGTGGTAAAGGACATCTATTGAAGTAGACAATAGTGGAAAAGTGGTTTTTAGTTGTATTGTTTGAAATACAAATTAAAGAATCGGTACAATGTGAAAGTCTCTGTTTTGGTATTTGTTTAATAAGGACAGGAGGCATAGTGATAGCATCTCTAGGATGTTAGCCTGAGACTGTAAGAAATGTAATACATCTCTCTGGTCAGACTTCAGAGAATTCTTTGGGCTAATATTTGCTTTTGGGACTGCAGTATGTTGGGGCTACAATACAATGGAAAGATACCTGCACCATTTTAAAGGTTGCGGGAGTGTATAAAGGGATTATGAAGTTCCTCGTAGCCTTGTTCTGCCCTCCCTGTTTTCTCAGCAGAACTGATGAGTTGGTATTTCCATCATATATTGTATTAATTTCTGTGAGCACTTCTTAGTCTGTACCTCAGGTTCCATTCTCTGAAATGTAAGGAATAGTATTAAACAGTAGGGCTGTAACATATGTATGGCTGCAGTGATGTTTGATATAATAAATAAAGTGTACAGGATAGTGTGACACTCGGAATTTATGGACAAGGGTGAAACTCATCTTAAATATTCAGACAAGAATTAATTGTTAGTATAACTGAAATATTAACAGTTGAATCTAAGAGTGTTATCTCTTGGCTGTACTTTTACATGTCGCATCCTGTGTTTCCGCTTCTCGAAGTGTCTGCTATTATACCAGGCCTATGTTTTTATATACTGCATCATGGTGTTAGTCATAAATATCTCATTCGACATAGAATAACTCCTTGTTACTGATGTCTGTATAAAACTGTGGTTGTACCATACAAAGATCAACAAAAGTGAAAACCTTGTCAGTTAGAAAAATTGCTGTTAAACCTGCACCAAGTTAAAAGAGAGTTTTCAGGCAGGCCAAGAAAAGCTCAGAGCAAGCCTGAGAAGCTTGCTCAAAGCCTCAGGCTTGAGGTCTTGCAAGCTCAATGTGAAGCTGTTAGTAGCAATGGCAATACAGTGCTACAGGGCTCCACAGTTGCGGTAGATATCTGTTCCTTTGAATGTGACAATTTAGGCATAGCGTAACTAGGTTGTTACATAACTTCACCATTAAAAAAAATGTTTTGTATACCATAAGGGTCTGTGTGTACTAGGCTTCTCTCAAAATGGCATTCTTGGGGCTACAAGCAACAATAAAGGGTTTTGGAAAGTATTAAGAATTTTATGGAAACTTGTGTAAAAATTCTTTCATATTTTCCTCCCACTTTAGAAGAATCAGGGTTGTTTAAAGCTGAAAGAAAGAAGACTGACTTAGTGCCAGGGAGTTTATTTTACACAGAACAAGAGTGGCACCCAGTGGTCAAAAAGATTTGTCTTAAATGCATCCTGATTTCTTCCATTTAAAATGTGAGGATAAAATGTCAACTCATTTTGTTGAAGACTTTAAAAATGTGTTGCGTGGTAGTCGATAGTCCCATCTTAGTCTTTATCGTATATTTCAGAATATGTAACTGTTATGCAACTGCAATAACACCATGAAGAACTTCATAAAGATACTTGGTTCAGTTGAGGATATGGGAATGTATTTGCAATTGAATGAAACTCTGCTGATTTATTACATAAATATGTGTTATCATGTCAGAAGTCTGATTGTAGAGAAGAGCACGGGAGTAGTAAATAACCTGGGAGGTAAAATCCTGTGATCAGGCTGCTAAACACTTCTAGCATTACATGCTTGGTGATAAACTTAGTTATGATTTTTTGGCTATTGCTCACTATTGAGCTACGTAGTGGATCTCAACAGAGGAAATCAACTAGAGGAAATCAAAGTACAGTACTTGGTATACGTTGTCTCCTGTGGTGAAAACGCTAATTACTTTACATTTCAAATACATTTGTGCTATAAAACATGAGATTAAAAAGCGAATATATGCAAAAATGCTTTCTCTTTGGATATGATGATTTTGAGTAAGTTCTTCTGGAGTACATATAAATTATTTTTTTTTCTCTGACATAGTAGAAGGAGATTTAAGATTACTGTAATCAAAAGTTTTTTTAAAAAATTGCATGCAACATGGCTGAAACATAGTCCAAAGTTAGATTTGAGAAGCTAAACACACTCAGGAGACTTGTAAAGTTAATGGGTTTTCATAGTCAGTACAGTGACTGTAAATTCTAAAAAAGAATAGCTCTTTTATTGACATAAATAATCAATTTTCTTATGCATTTTTAAAAACTCGTTCAGCAGCTAAAAATGCGCTATAAGAAGCTGTTGTCAATATTATGTTTAGCATTTCCTCTTAGGCACTGATCATTCTCATTTTCCTGCTTTGATTTTTGGCAACTTAAGTGTCAAAAAGCAATTCCCAATCTCTTACTCTTTCCATTTTTGTTCCTCCTGTCTTTCTTTAGAGTGCGGAAAAACATTACTGGAGATTCTCCCAAAGTAAAAGAAGCTGCTTATCTGGAATATCAAAAATCCTTGAAGGATGCAGGATTTTGAGGGTTGAAAGTTTCCTATGTTGAAGAAACCATCTGTTAGGCTTTTCTGGAGTGGTTTTTTTTTTTGTTGCTGCTGCTGTTTCTTTTATGGTTTTATTTATTTTTAAAGCTTCTTGCCTTTTCTTTAAAAATGTGAAGTACATGCTTACTTCACAGTTACATAGCTGTGATATGCCCACTGACCAGCAGCAATTCTCTGTGCGTGACAAGAGGATTGTTGAGGTTCTACTACTTGTCTTAGCTGCCTTTTCTCTTGCCTTCTTTCTTCTTATGGACTTATGCTCCAGGTTTCAAGCAGCCGTCATTTGCCAATAGTCTACCATTGAGCGAAGCACTACTGATCCTTCTGCTCTTTCCTGGACCACTCAATTCTTGAGAGTCGTTAGCCCTCTTTTGTACTATGCTCAGTGAACAGCTCTCATCCTGACCATGACTTTTTTATGGTAATATCATTCTTTTATATGTAAAAAAATAAAATAATTCAGAGGATGTGCTGGGCATAGATTTCAAAATGAGTTCCCAGCCCATTTTCTCTTGTTCTGACCTAAGGGATTCTTGCTGGATTTCTGAACTCCAAGAACTGATGTGAATCGTGTAACCTTAGACCCATAGCTTGGTTTGAAGTGCTCATTGGTTCAAGCCTAGTTGGCATGTACAAAGAATTGTACATCAAAGCAGAATCTCTTGGTTTGGAGAACAGAGAATTTTCTGCACACTTGAGGACAGTTTTAATGTCTTGGTCGCTGGTGTTATGAGAATTGTGAACTTGGAAATTATGAGAGGAGTAGAGATCAAATAACACTTGACTTCTTTGTGCCTTTAAATTTCACGCATGTTGATCACATCTGAGGCTGTGTCATTATTTGTTTTTAGTGATGTATCAAACTCATTTATTCAGAGCACTCAAATTATTTTATGTGTGCTAGATATTTTGAAAAATTGTGTGGAACTATGCTGTTGTATGTTGAAGAGCTCCAATTTTACAGCACTTCTGTATGGGCCTCATAGCAATGGCTTTTGCATACAAGTTCATTTTTATGAAGTCAGATGAACTTTTCAGTGTGAAATGCTTTAGAAGGTTGTTAGCTGCTGTTCACTGTAGTCATACCAAATTTTAATCCTTTTGAGTGCACAGAGCATTACTTCATTCTTTTTTTTTCAGCCAAACTGAGTTCATAAGATGTGAAATATGCGAAACTTGGCAACTTAAGATGAGTAAGACTCATCTTCAAAGAGAAATTACAAAGTGACGCACTTGTAAATCCCAGTTATACATGCATTAAGTTTGATCCTTAAAATTATATGAGGTCCAGATTTTTGTAAAATAAGGATTGCCATATTTGTAGACAAAGTATTCTGCATCAGTAGTAATGTTGGCTCGTGTAATATAGACTCCTGAGAAGTGGCTCTTGTAGGTCATTTTTAATATCTCCTCTCAAGTTGTTGATAGGAGTTAGTTTTCCTTTGTTAATGAACGAAACTTGCTGCTACTGTGTGTATTCTTGTGTTTATTTGTTATTGTGTTTTTTTTCCAAGTCTTGTGTGAAATTAGGAAGTAGTCTTGGTCCAGTCTTTAGTACTAATACATTGGCTTGTATAAAATAGATCTGCTTGTCTGTGAGTGCACAGGAAATATTTTGTAGTAACTAAAAATAATAAAGTAGTTTTGAAGCTAGAAATGAAAGAAAACTTAATTTTAAATAATTAGTGATCTGTGAACAACAAAGATTCATCAGTCAGTTCTATGTTTTGTTTTGGAAATCTCTTAAACCAATGGTATGTTGCCTTTCCTCTGAAAATTTTATGTGGCTTTCTGAACATTAAACTTACGATTACCTCCTTAGGCTGATAAAGCATAACATACACCAGTTTTTGTAGATACATAAACCTTCACAATGAGATTGCATTTACTGAAGGCCATGGAGAAAGTTGGTAGTGGAGGATAGAAGCCCAGCAATTGTGGCTTTCTGATCTCTGCTTGAACTGCCCTTCCATTTGGTGATTCACCCCTTGCAGCTGCAGTATGTGATGACAGGATGTTCTAGAGAAGTAGTCTGAAGATTGTACATTAAGAAGAAAATTGTTCTTTGGCAAGAATGGTTATTTTAAACCAAAACCATTGATGAGAGATTCTCCAGATAGAAGTTAAGGGTCACTGACTCTTCTCTCAATAAAGCAGGATTTAATATTGAGGGTTCAGTGGTGTCATAGGGCAAGGCAGTTAACTTTACATTATCACTGTGCAATCACCTTTGAATTACAGGAGGTAGCTTGTTTCCACTTTTTCCCCAGTATGTATTCTTTAGTGAATGAAACAGTGAACCTGTTTAATATTTTATACTCGTTTAAAAGAGTGTATTATATTGTGTGAGGTCTCTAGGCTTTGGATTTAAACTTTCTTGTA